GTAAATACCTCTTAATCTTTTTGTTCGCTTTCTATTATAGCCTCTCCACACATCTTGTATTAGTCATATTTGGGAGAAAACGAGACGGCGGGTCAGGAAATCTTTTCCTTAATATTTTCATAATTTTTTAAAATTATTTTTACCTAGCACAGACGTCTATCCAAGTTTTTCAAAGTACATCATTAGTCTCCTTAATATATCTGTTTAACACATCCAACATTTCTTGTTTGTTTGTTTTTTCTAACTATAACATCTTATAGAGAAATAAATTATGTGATTAAAAAAAATAATGGAGATAACTTATTGAAAGAAAGACAAGATAGAGAGAAAGAGAGAGATAGAGGAAGGAGAAATGGGGCAGGGGAAATACCTTTTAACTCCTGTGTTTTCCTTCTTTCATAACCTCTCCTTGCTTCTGGTATCAGTTACATTTGGGAGAAAACGGCACGGTGGGTCAGGAAATCTTTTCTATAGATATTTTGTCTCCTTGATATATGCGCTGAATATCTCACTATTTTTTTCGTTTTAAATTATATATTCTTATAGAGAAATGTAAAAAAATTTAATGGTTTTGTGAATAAAAGCAGATAACGTATTGAAAGCCGAGAGGGAGAATTAAGGAGAAGGAGAAATAGTGTGTGTGTGTGTGTGTGTGTGTGTGTGTGTGTGTGTATGCGTGTGTGTGTGAGAGAGAGAGAGAGAGAGGAGGGGGGTTGCGGATGAGATTACCAGGGTGGCTACATGTATCTTCTTAACCAACCAAGGAGATATAACTGATGTCAGCATGATCTTTATACCCCCAAAACTAGAAGTCCACTATAATATACATAAATTGAAAACGGAGATGGTGTTATGATATCCAGCCACTTTTGTAGACAAACCTTAGATCTAATGAATGAATACAACCTTTCAGGGGTTAAAAGTTCTAATTAATTTTGACACCGGTTCCTTGAGGCAGTAAACAGACCCTTACAAATTCGATCGCTTGCTTGCTATAAAGGACTCTTTACACGTATGTAGTATTTGTTACATTTGGGAGAAACCGGCAGAGTGGGCCAGGAAATATTTTAGGTTAATATTTTTGATTCTTTCTTTTTTTCACTTTTACCAAGATTTGTAAAAAATATTGTCTGCTAGACATATCTGTTAAATATCCCACAGCATTTTTTGTAATTTTTTTATATAATCTTATATAAAAATCATATATAAAAAAATGGTTCAGAAATTGAAACTGACTGCCTATTGAAAGATCAGAGAGAGAGAGAGAGAGAGAGAGAAAGAGAGAGAGAGAGAGAGAGAGAGAGAGAGCTGTGTTAAGAAGCAGGAGGGTGGGCTTAAATGACTTCTTCACTCATGCGGTATCAGTTACATTTGGGAGAAAACGGCAGATCGGGACAGTGAGTCTTTTGTTTTAATATTTTTGTCACTTTTTTCCACATTTTACAATGATTTTTAAAAAAATTGTCTCCTAGACATACAGTGTATCTGTTAAATGTCCCAAAACTTTTTTTTAAATATATAATCTTGTAGAGAAAGGAAAAAATAAGTAAAGGAAATAAAGCAGAAAATCTATTGAAGGATTAGAGAGAGAAAGTGTGTGAGAAAGGAAGAGAAAGAGAGCTGTGTTAAGAAGCAGGAGGGAGGGGGGGCGTTGAATGCCTTTCAACTCCTGCGTTCGCTTTCTCTAATGACTTCTCCACTTATGTGGTATCAGTTACATTTGGGAGAAAACGGCAAATCAGGAAAGTAAATCTTTTACATTAATATCATTGTTACTTCCTTTTTTTTCTTCACATTTTACAATGATTTGTAAAAATGTGTCTCCTAGACATACAGTGTATCTGTTAAATGTCCCACAGCTTTTTTCTTTTAAAAAATATATAATCTCGTAGAGGAAGGAAAAATAAATAAAGGAAATAAAGCAGAAAACCTATTGAAGGATTAGAGAGAGAAAGTGTGTGAGAAAGGGAGAGAAAGAGAAAGAGAAAGAGAGATGTGTTAAGAAGCAGGAAGGGGGGGGGGGCGGCGTTGAAAGGCATTCAACTCCTGCGTTTGCTTTCTCTGACTTCTTCACTCATGTGGTATCAGTTACATTTGGGAGAAAACGGCAAATCAGGACAGTAAATCTTTTACGTTAATATTATTCTTATTTCTTTTTTTTTCCACATTTTACAACGATTTGTAAAAATAACTGTCTCCTTGACATATCTGTTAAATATCCCACTGCATTTCTTTGTTACTTTTTAAATTTTGTATAGATCTAATATTATAAAGAAATGGATAAAAATAATTATCTACTTATCTATCTAATTATCTACTATCAGATAACCCATTGAAAGATCAGAGAGAGAGAGAGAGAGAGAGAGAAGGGGGGAGATACGTAAATAACTTTTTGATATCGCCTCTAAAATGACCTCTTATCTCTGTACATCTGGTAGGCTAGATGTACGGCGGTTTAAGAAATTATTAACGTTTATTTTTTATTTGTTTTACAAATGCAAATTTGTCCCCTTATCTGTTATAGGCCTATCTGTTCAACATTGTTTAATTTTGTTCTGAAAATTATTGCCTTTTTGATGTTGATGATGGTAATATATTTTGAATTAACACAAGTCCAGGGTCCGGGTAAATATAAGGCCTACTGTTTTTTTTCAATATTACAACTTCTTCATACATGCATGCATTATATAGGGATTCAGTAGGCCTATACATTAACAATGCAAAAGTGAATTTTCTTTTAACTAAACCTTTTTTCGTTGTTGCTCTCTATATATACTATTTGATTGAGTGATGGGCGTGAACTTAAAACCACGTACCGTACATACTCATATGCTACTCTCTACCAGGGCCACAGTTATTATTGTGGACATTTTTTGCTGAGAGCCAAAATGACAGTCTATTTATCTTTAGATATATCTGTGAATATCTGTGGAAAATCAATCTGTCGCCCTGGTAGAGGGTAGGCCTACCCATATGCCACGTACTGTTGCTTAAAAGTCACAAAGCTTAGTAACTTGTGAAATCTTGGATATAATAACGCCTAAATTAAATTGGTAGGGCCTATATTGGGTGTATCATAATAAGATACTTTTTTAAAATACTAAAGTGAATCAAGTTCTAGAAAAGGTTCACGTATTATTTGATTAAAAGCAAAATCCCTCTCCTTGCTAATTCTAGTATTGTTGATGTTCTACTGCTGCGCCATCTATTACTGTCCTGATTTGCCTGTGTCCTGATTTGCCGTTTCCGCCATTTTCTGACCTGGATTGCCGGTTTCTCCTAAAGCGAGTCTGCGTCCTCTGGTAAAGCCGGCAAGCACCTTTCGCGCATGCGCTGTTGTTTGAAGCCGGTGCCTACTAGTCTGCTCGACCACGAGGCCGGACTACTCAGCGGAACTGGTCTGTGGTCTATTAGTGGTTGGAATTCCTAAGTGGGAATCGCTGGAGTCCTCGTAGCACAAGGAATTCGATTTCGTCACAGCTACCGTGCAGACGGTAAGAGATACGACTAATAAACAGAACTGAGAAACAATACACTGCGATCTCACTAAATAGAACCGGTAAATACTTTATTGTGGATCATCTTTTCCCTTGTGAACCACGGACCGAGGTACATTTGTGCAGCGATCTTCCTGCCACTTATTCCTGGACGACTCCATCTTAACTCGAGTGCTTCACAGAGAATTTACAGTCGACTTATAGGGTGAGTTGTTTTCACCTGGGCCCTGGTGTAACATGCCTTTGGTTGACTCACTGCCACAGAATAAGAATCTTAAATAGCCTCTTGGGTTCACTTTACAAGTCTCTTCATTTGCCCAAACAAAAGCCAAATCTGAGCTGCACTTTAATGACTGCAAATTAGGCGCGATTTTTCACCTTTCAGTTCTGTGACACATTTTCATATCATGCTCCTATTATTTCTACAAGTATTCTCTGCCCCAAATGCAGATAAAATGTTATCTTACCGTCTTGTTAGAATTTAACTGCTTTTTTCTCTAAGCCCACATCTTCATTCCCATTCACCTCCAGCCAAAAATGACCACTCAGCTTAACGTCTTACACCACTACACGTTAATTCCGGCACAATTTTTATCAATTCTGGTCTCCTCCGGTACCCCTTATTGTGCCTCTATCTTTCTTATGTGATTTAAAGCAATAACAATCCTCTCGAAAATATATAATATCAGTGTTTATATTTCTCCTTGCAGTGCATAAACATAGTCAAAGCTTTTATTGTCAGTTTAACACCTTTCTATTTATGTGTGAGATAATACACTGTCACCCGAGCGATATATGCCATAACACCTCGAGCATCAGCAAGAGGTGTTCATGGCATATATCGCGAGAGGGTGACAGTGTATTATTTGACATACATACCGAGAAAAAATACAGTCATTTCAAAACCTAAAACCGAATAAAGTGACCCTATATCACGCTCTAGAGATGTTATACGAAATAAAACTCGTCCTGCCAAATTCTTACATAATGTTTGACCAATTTGGTCAATTTTTGCTAAATACTTGTCGTGGACATTCAACCGTCAACACTGACCATGCGCGTCTCAGCTGAGCCACACCTAGCTGGGACTGCTGCGGAAAAAAGGTCCCAAGGCAAAACCTCTACTTTCTAGTGACATTTCTTATAAAAAAGGAACATCGGACCGGAATATAGTCAAACTAATTTTTCACAAGTGCAAAGGAGAAAGAAATTTACTTTTTGGTGATATTTCTGACAATAAGGTAGTTTCGGAATAAAGTCAAAACCAACGGATGTTTATTACAAGTTCACGGGAGTAATAATTCTAGTTTTTTTATTGTTATTTCTGACGACGAGGCGGTTACGGAATATAGTCAAAATCAAACGGATGTTTATTTCATAATTGTACGTTTTGGTGACATTTTTTACTACGAAGCGGTTTCGGAATATACATGTGCTGGTTTTCAGAGCATTCATGTGCTACATGTAATTACAAGTTCAAAGGGGGAATACATTTGATTTTTACCGATATATCTGATAAAGAGGAAGAATGAACAGCTTAAAAACAAAAGGTAAATAACACAACCCTCGTTAAAAAGTTATAGATTTACAAATAATTCGTATGCACGTGTGGCTTAAATGTAAACTAATTCCCATTTTCAAATCATATCCATATGATTTGACTTAGTGTAATAAAATGATAGATAACAATTGTTAAACGTGAAAAGTTTATGCTAATTTTTTAAAAAGTGTGAGAGATTTTAAATTTGTCTACTGGTAGGTATATAACGCAAGCAACGTCACTATTCTCTTGATGCCAAGAAGGTCACATGGTCACACTGTCTTTTGGCTTTCAGTATTTAAGAGACCTCGACTGATTTAACCAAGATGTAGTCGTGAAATTCTAGACTACATCTAGGTTAAATCCGAGTTTTCCGAGAGACGCTAGGCAGAAATGTCGAGTGAAGCGAGACATTTTTGGGTAGCGGCTCAAGGTTGCCCTTGATCTTCACTGAAGCTTGGCTAAATGGACAGGCTTCAGTGATCATCATATCGCCACGGTCATATAACATCCCTAGGTATGTATAGGTGAAATAGTAATCAGGATGGGGCGTAACTTCATCCGTGAAAAATATTTTACCAGAATATCATATGGGTTACAATCCTGTACCATCATTTTGGCTTACATTTTTTTGTAATGGACTTATGAGGCCCTAATTACAGATTTTCTTGAAACAAAGGCATTATTCTACTTTATCGATGATAAAATCTGAACCAAGAGTTTTTAAAAAGAAAAATCGTTGGCAATGTTTTGGAGCACTAAATGGTGTCATTAAATTAGCATTTAAACGGTGTTCGTGGGTTCTTAGGTAAAGGTAATATTTGAAAAACCGATTTTTCCTTTTTTACCTCATAATCACAATTATGACATCATTCATAATGATGTGTGTTAATGTTAATTAATTTAGTCAGTGTATACTGTAGCTTTATCTGCTGTCTAAAAGAATGTATGTAAGAGGGTAAATAAGGAGTTTTGGCGAAGGGTGACAGTATCCTTAATGCTACTGTTTCCAGGTGCAGCATGGCGCATACACCAACAGGACAACAGATAGACAGACTCCAAGAGATTCTCGATTCTCTTTTGGAATCACCTAATGCTCAGGTTCCTGTCAACCTTGAACTAGAAGTATGTATTTAAACATCATAAAATTATTTAAAATTGCCAATTTTGTGTCTTAAAGAGTAGCTAGCCCTACTAGAATTTTTTCTTGTTTATTACAGTGTCTAGTGTAAAAAAAAAAGGCCATCTTTGCAGCATCCCTTTCACTGAATAAGAATTTGCTATGCCTGCATATCAGTTATTATATGTAGTCAATAAATTGTATACCTAATCTTCTCTGAAATAAATAATACTAAGTACTTAGTAATGCTACTTGACAATTATTTAAATAGTGCCAGTCACCCAATGGATTGTCTTTAGTTATAACAATAATGTTGTCTTACAGTTTCATATGGTGGTTGAGCATTACTGTTCAAAATTAATAATTTTATATTGATTAGAATCCATATCATATCAATATATTGTTTAATTTGTATTTTATAGCAACAAAGGACTGATGGAAATATGTTGCCTGTTGAAAATGTTGACATGGGACATGATATTGAATTAATGGGCTTTGGGCATGTAAAGGCACAACTAGTTGCAGGCCCTGAGCATCAGCTAATTAAAGTTCGGGTTAGTATTTTAACACCATTGTCCAAGTTTTGCATCATAACTAAGTTTTTTGAGCCCTTATTCTATAAACACCTGAAGTGTTATGTCAGAGATACTTCACTATAGTCTTTGGTTCCGATCACTCTGAGCGCAGCCGAGAATTAATTACAGCTTTGGAAGAAACTGGCTTGCGCTGCCAGTAATTACGCCGCGGGTTATTCAGGGCACAGACCGTGATCACAAGATACCGCGGATGGAAAATAGATTTTTAGAAAATAGATTTTTCATGTGAACAGAGCCTTTGGTACTTCTACTAAGAGAGCATTCATATCGAGAAGGGACGAGGTCTTACAAGGCTGAGACCTAAATATGACGGACCTACATAAAAGGAAAACTGCGCAATCCTTTAATGGTCTCTCAGTGAATGTCAGTGAATGTTAATAATATGCCAAGACTTCTCAAAAAAGAATGCGTTTAAAAGATGGAGCACTAATATAACTTAAGGAAAGAATGCATTCTTTAAAAAGGATTTAATAAATTATTTCTAATACATGTTTGCTTTACACTTAGATGTACATCTCTGGATGTTGTAAAATTGATGCTAGTGCATTTTTCTTTTTCAGGTCACTTCCAAAAAATTGCTCCTTTTGTTTGCCATAACACTTGTTGCATATCTGGGGGAATTAGTCCATAGCTGTGTCTTCATGAGGGCAGATTCCAGCATGATCTTTTTCTTCTATCCAGCCATGCTAGGTAAGTGATTTATTTTCAGCAGTGCTACAGGCAAATAAAATTTAGAATTAAATACAAGATTATCTTTTATGGTCAAACTGTATAAATGTCACCTCTTGCCATTAATTTAGATCCTACATTCTTGATCTTGAACATTTTCTTGTTTTATGTACAGCCAATGAAAGTTAAACGTGATGCGAGCATACATTGCAGATTCCCTTCAATGCATATAGATCACTACTAGGTGTTAAGTATGCATTTCTTTATTAATGAAATTTTTTATCATTCTTTACTTCATTTACACATTTACTTTCAAGAAATCGGATCCAAGACAATTATGTGCCACCTAAAATGTTGAAAAAATCGGTTAAAAAAATCCTAAAGTGCACCAAAGGATGAGTGCGATTAAGGGGGTAAAAGTGCTTACATTTGTACATGAAAAATAAATTGCGAATGAATGGAAAAAAATTGGTGCCAAATTAAAGTTGGGGTCTTACACTTTTATGATCCACTTTAAAAGAAATTTTTTATTGAATTTGAAATATAAAAAAAAATTAATTCCCAAATGACCTTGTCAAATATTCATGAAAATGTGTGTTTTAGGGGGAGGGGTCTGAATTGCAATGCTACATATCTTTAGTTATAGTAAGGTGACAACTGTGACATTTTGTAATTGGGTACAGAAGGTGCCAGTGTAAAAAAGAAAGGCAGTAAGTGGCCAACCACTGCTTGTGATCAATATTTTGATTGCTTTATTCTTAAATGTAGTACTGATTGAAAGGAGAATCTCACAATGACTTGAGGATAAAAGGTGTTCATTTTTTATATGGACCCCTGCCTCAGACAAGCTAATTTTTCATGGTTGAAAAGATATGAATATAAGGTGAGATATATGTGAAAATCAGCTTGTCTGAGGGCTGAGCTTGATATGTACTCGAACTAAATAGGGACATTTTCAGTCCATTTGCTAGCAGTCGGCCATGTTTATTTCTGCCATGAGGTAGCTGCTACATGCTTACATAGGATGGCTAGGCAGATACAGTGAATCTTTTGTACAAAAAGAACAACCCCCCCCCCAAAAAAAAAAAAATGTACTAGTAGGCCTTTGAAAGGAAAGTAAGGGTAAGAGTCAGTAAAATATTTTCAATTGCAACCAAAAATATGTCATTTTCATGTAATGCATGCTATCAAATAAATAAATAAATGGATAGGAAATAGAGTCTAAATATTTCCATTCTTATTTCTTAGGATTAAGAAAGATTAAATGGAAAATGTGCTTCAGATATTCAAAGTTATATTAATTATCATAATAGCAGATGTACATTGTGGTGGCTCCTACTTTATATAGAGACCCATAAATAGACTTCTACACGTAAGGGTGGCTTGACCCTTCTGTAATGGGCATGAAAGTACATTTTGTAAAACCAAAATAGTTGTTTAGATATCCCCTTTTATGTCTATTTTGCATAAAAAGTAATATAAAAGGCTCCATCACATATATATATATATACCCTGTATATATATATACGCTGAAACAAGTTGCTCAAGTTGCCCCCCCCCCCCCAATATATCTCCTTAAAAATACTAAGATACGATGCCTTAAACCAAATAATATTTTTTCATGCAACAAATATACGCATAAACTTTATAATATGAAATTATTTTTAAAATTTGACGATGGGCACTTTGCCAATGGTTATTAGCACTCATCCTTTGCACCGTGATTTAAAAATTTTTTACATAGGAGCATGCCCCCAAAACCCCCCAGTTTTGCCAGGATCCCACATTGCCCCTCCACCTCACAGACCTTGAAACCCCGGGGGAAACACTACAGTGATCATCTTGGTTTTTCTTTCAGCTTTCTCCTGGGAAAGTGCTGAGGTTTGGCGCTCTCAAGTGTGCAGTGATCAAAGTCTCATGCAAGTTATAACCTCATTCTGGAGGAGGCTAGCCGACCTGCATGAAAAGGAAATCAGCCCCGGACCTGTAGAATGTGTGTAAATGCATATAAGTTTGCCAAAATTGCCATACTAGTTTAGAGAAATAGTACTTAGAAATAAACAGATTTGTTACTTTTTGTATTTTTTACAAAAGATGATCCCTATCTGAGGTTCAAGTCATTTTCAATGTTCATTTTTGAATTGTATCAAAGAACCCACAAATACCTTAAAATTCTGTATCTCGTATCAGTTACAATTACTGTATTTACAGAAGAATTAAACACAAAAAGCAAAATTAATGGGTAGAATACTTCTTTAAAGTTATAAATGACAACATTCTTCATCTCCATNGGCCCTATTTAATTGTATTTTTGTATAAACTGTTAATGTATGGATCAGTCGTCAATTACCCAGCAAACACAGAACGATGTTACACATTTACCATAGCGTTTCTATAACCAGAAAACGACATGGTAACGTTATGGTAACGTTCTGTGTTTGCTGGGTAGGGAAGTCGCGAGAATTAGTACATGAAAATTTCGAATGGGAATGGGTACATAATTATAATAATTGTCTCGTGTACTATATACAATACATGCAGTAGCGCATAGCAAATTCACAAAATATTTCAGTGCAAGTAAATTTGATATGTCTTTTTTTTCTAATTATAGAAGTAAAATGAAAATAATGGTAGCCCTTAAGGCTTATTTGTTCAGAAAAAAAACTTTCTCATGTTTGATATATTTTTTTGTATTTTGCTTTCAAGTTAACGATCTTAGTTTGTTCACATGGCTGTTATATAATCTTTTTTTTTTTTCGTTTAATATAATCTTTTTGAAAGAATGGGTCTTATTTTTCTAGAAATAATTATTTGCTATATTATTACCTATTCTGAAATAAATATCACAAGATATTTTTTTGAAAATGACCAATAGGGTTTGCATTCCTAATTGATTTACATTATGTATTCACAAAATTAATAGTTTGTGCTTACTTTGTGGTATGGTAACTTTTCCCAGAGTGTATATTACTTTCATCTTCAAAGTAACTGTTGAGTGCATCTACAGGATATTTCTAGTTTTTTGTTATCTGTTGAACATATCTGTTAAATTTTGTAAGAATATTAAAAATATTGGCTTCATGACGAACTTAAAGTCTACATATCTGTTGTAAGATCTACTTTAGAATATGTTGTGCAAGTGTAGCATCCTGGACTGACCAATTGCCAGGCTGAAAAAACTGAATCCGCCCAGAAAAGAGTCTTTAAGATACTGTATCCTTATATCTCGTACAAAATAAATGTGTTCCCTTGCAAACCAGGCGCAGTAACTTATGCCTTGAAATGTTTGCAGGCATGTGTATGGAGGAGCATAGACTGAACCGTTTATTACCGAAAGTTAAAGAACATTCGCATTGAGACACTCTCAGAACTTCTTTGCCCCAAAGGTTAGAACTGTTAGATCTGCAAAAACTTTTATCCTTTGGTCCCTCGGAATTTTAATGTAAAAACACTAAACTGTTTAAAGAAACTGATTGATAAAAACATTTGTAAGTGAACTATTTTAAGGAAACTTACTGATTTATTTTAATGTTAATTCAATTCTTTCATGGTACTGAATTATTGTAAAGAAGCAGTTGGATTTTATATTTTAATCAGTAAATCAAACACAATTACATGGAGTCTCATTTGCAACACTAGTACAGCAAATGATAAAAGTATAAATGAAAGAAAACGTATGACTGTCGTGAATTTTAGATTTAAGAATGATTGTGAAACGGATATGGCGAAGATAAGTTGGAATGATTGACAGCAATGATTGTAGTCAGAACTTCTGTAATTAACGAAAAAAGCACAGAAAATTAAAACGTTTATGGGAATAGGGAAGTTCCTTCAAAGAAGAAAAACAAATTTTAGGTTNCTAGTGCGCAATACACGTGCTTGCCGTGTGCCAAATTTGACAGCTACACTGTATGCCCGATACCACTATAAGGGCTGCGCAATGGCTACACCAAAATCAGTTTTTAAAGCAGAATGTTGCTTCTATTGTGGCACTGACCTTCGACTGCAAGATATTTTCAATTCAAACTTCGTCAGGCACTTTGCTTCTTGTCTCGTCTGCACGAGATAACTTCAGCGCGAGGCGGGAAAGGCAGCTCCAGGCGGCTAAACCTGTGACGTACGAGCTCGAGACTTATGACTTCCAAATATGGATCCAGGCGGACACAGCTGTGACGTGTGACTTCCAAATATGGAAGCGCCCCAGGCAAAATTTTGAAGAAGAACGCCCTCAGATTGTCGCTGTTCGTCAGAGCTAGTAAAAGCGACTCCGTCACAAGGTATATATTTAACAAGCTAGCTTTTACGTTGCTCTGACACTCAGGGTTATTTCAGTGAGCATTGACAAAAAATCGGAGCATAATTGAGCTGAGCACCTGTGTAAATGTATATCTTCTAGTCTTATTTGGGGCGCAGAAATGGGCGTCGTTACTCAGTGCATATATTATTTCAAGGGCACGGTGATAAAAAGAGACAAAACTAGAACTTTTGGGAGTTCAACCGCCTTGATGCTTATACTACCTATAAACTTCACAATGCTGTACACGAAATAGTCGCAGTACATTTAACATTATAGCCTACACGTTTCTTTAATCTAAATGCGAAAGTGACATTAACAATCACATAAGGTTTTACACATTAATTTAACGAAGTTGAAAAGTGCTCTGTGGTATTGAAATTAGGAGAATCTACTTGCTCAATTCCCTGGTCATTGAAGAATGACTTTGTTCCGTGGGCATTCCGATTTCAGTGAGCATTGACAAAAAATCGGAGCATAATTGAGCTGAGCACCTGTGTAAATGTATATCTTCTAGTCTTATTTCGGGCGCAGAAATGTGCGTTGTTACTCAGTGCATATATTATTTCAAGGGTACAGTGTGAAAAAGAGACAAAACTAGAACTTTTGGGAGTTCAACTCCCTTGATGCATATACTACCTATAAACTTCACAATGCTGTACACGAAATAGTCGCAGTACATTTAACATTATAGCCTACACGTTTCTTTAATCTAAATGCCTAAGTGACATGAACAATCACATTAGGATTTACACATTAACTTAACGAAGTTAAAAAGACTTGTTTAAATAGGTTGCCCCACTCTGAATTCCGCACCTTTCTGAACAAGAAACCGCGAAAAGTTGAGGTGAGTGTTATCAAACCATTTAAAGAAATTGCTTCAACTAATTCCTATTGCATTTTAGGGAACAGAAAAAAACCCTGAAAGAAGAAAAACAAAGTTAAGGTTTAAGGAGGCATGCTTTGTCGAAGAATACCAGTCACCAAAAGGTATTGCTAAACCCCGAAGAATTCCATCATTGAATTGGCATCTTGTGTTGTTGCCTTGAACCTGAATGGTGCCAATTATTATTTGAAGTATTGATTCCATATGCACCAGTATGCGTATTACTTGAGGTACATTGTAAGACCACTCCTCGGCAAGAGCCTGTCTAAAGTTATTCAGTGTGGGCTGCTGGACTAATCATTTTCTAATAACACGGTGTCGAGTGTCCCACCAGTGCTCTGTGGAATTGAAATCAGGAGAATCTACTTGCTCAATTCCCTGGTCATTGAAGAATGGCTCTGTTCCGTGAGCATTCTGATTTCAGTAAGCATCGAAAGGCTAAATAATTCGAGGCATAAGTAAGCTGAGCATCTATGTTTATGTATATTTCCTGGCCACATTTGGGGCGAAGAAATTTGTAGTTACTCAGTGCATATGTTATTCAAGGGTGCAGTAAGTAAAAGAGACAAGACTTAACATTTTAGGAGTTCAACTCCCTTGATGCATATACTACCTATAAACTTCACAATGCTGTACACGAAATAGTCGCAGTACATTGAAAATTAGCCTACACGTTTCATTAATCTGAATGCTTAAGTGACATTAACAATCACATTAGGCTTTACACATTAACGTAACGAAGTTAAAAAGACTTGGTTAAAGGCTGTCCCACTCTTAAGTGTGTGTCCATGATAAGACCAGTCAGAGGGTGGCAAGGTGGGGGTCAACAGATTTCAACCAAATTCATAATATAGTTGCATATATAGGAGATATTCACATTGAAGGCAACAATCCCAAAATAAATTATTGGATATAATTATAATATAATATTAAATGTTTTGGCCAATTTTTGCTTAATTTTCAGCTTCGGTCAATAAAGCCACTTCATAAGCAAATATGTTAAAACTGATGACTTTTTAAAATAAATTGATAATTTACCTATTTAAACCAGCCATTTGCCATTGAGAATATGTTACTTAATTTCAGTTTAACCCATAAACTAACGAGCTACGCCCATTTTTATAACCCCACCCCCCAAACTCACTTTTCTACCAAGCAATTTTCAAGCATTCATATCTCTCTTTTTGCAGGGTTGACAGCCATAAAATTGTATAGGGATCCTGAGCATATATTGGTCTCATCATACAAATTTTAAAAAGTGTGTTAAACACAACAGAAGATATTGAAAATGTGCCTCAAACTTAAGCAATTTTAGCAGAAAACCAAACGACCGAAATCAAGATATCACTACATTTTGAGATATTACCTTCCAATAATCAAATTTAATCAAACACTCACAGCCAGGAATTCAAACAATGCTTTGATAAGGGCAAATCTATCCAATTTTTATAAATACAAGATGGCTGCCATCAATTCTGTCCCAAAATACAGTTACCGCAATTCCTCAAAATAATCAAGAGGCCCATTTTTGCAGGTTTTTTATTTTGAGATCTGTAATACAGGATTGCTCAGATAATATTCTTTTCAAACAGAGCCATACAACTTCTGAATAAATTAAAATGATTAGTGTCAAGTTATTCAACCCCCCCCCCCCACACACACACATTTTATGAGTTATTACTGTGCATATCCAATGTCATCAGCACTGTGTATATACCTTATTTTCAGGGAGCAAGAGAGAAAAATAAAAAAAAATCACAAAGCATTTTTCTAAAGGCAAAAGGGAATGACTGTCTCATTTTATCAGTTTTCCCAAGTGCAACACTAATTAATCCACTTGAAATGATTTATATTGCATTTTTCAACCATTCTTTTTCCTTTCAAATGATTCATAGGTTAAAATCTGCTGACCCCCACCTTGTCGCCTTCTGACCGATCTGTCTGGCTTTCTCATGGACGCGCTCTTAA